GCTCTTCCTAGCCTCCTGGAGAAAACCTTACCTTAATTAGAAGTGTTTCTAGTTAATTGACAAGATCATGTGGTATTCGGTCATCGCGAGAATTTGTATGCACCACTTCAATACTGTTACGTATTTGACCACAAACGTTTGACTGCTGGATACATTATCAAAGAGCTTTGGAGACGATGTGGCTGGTAGCAAGGTGAGCTAACGTTCAATGAAAATTAACTTTTAAACAACAATGATTTATGGTGGTCCTGAAAAGAACCGTTTTGTCGTGATTGTTGGAGTAATTCTGAGCCATTAGGGTGTTCAACACGGATGAGGCTGGTGAGCTGTATGTTTTTTTGGAACGAGGGTGCCGCGCTTGGCATAGATGGCCAACAGCGATTCACGAAGAGCTACTGATTCCGATCAGTAGCGCAGCGGCTTCTTCCTCCCTCTTCGGTGAATGGACGCTCATGTGGGTTGCAGCTCGCTGCTTGTGGTCAACCTTTCGTTGTATACTGGAGAACAATGTTCAATGCGAAAGCACTGCTGCTGCTACTACTGCTGTTGATGACGACCAACCGGACACCACCACCCACGGTGATTGAATAAGCACCGTTCGGCGAGACCAGATCGAATTCTATTTTGAAATCTGTGTTAGGGAACCCACTTTTTGCAGGCAGGTGATAATTTTTATCACCATCCCTAATAAAATTGTTATGGATGGGGGGGCGACCCCGGCGTAGTGGTTAACATCCATACCTCTCATGCCAAAGTCACGAGTTCAAATCTCACCCCCGGACAAGTCACGAATGACCCAAGAGTGTTAAAGTGACCATAAATAAAAAAAAAAAAAAAAAAAAATGTTATGGATATTTTACTTAACGACGTGATCCGGGTATCATCCAAACTATTTGTGGAATAGTTCAATCATTTGGCTTAGCATTGACTTATGATATTTTTATTATGGATTGCAACAGTTGAGCATTAGCGTTATTTTCAATAGTGACCTATTGAAAATTAATAAAGTAATCATTTTAGCAGATTTGTAGAAAAATTCCAATCGATTGGCTTGTTAATTGTTGTTAAAATTCATCCGCTATTGACAGAGTTATTAGTTGTTAAAAACCTGACCACTTTTCGTGATGCGGTCAACTTTGGTTTTTTGAAATTGCACCCTCAATATGTTTGGCTCTTGAGTGACTCAAAACAAAACAAAAATCTTCACTCTGCAAATATTTACAGGGTGATTCAGAATAGCTGTCATCGATTACACAAATATGCAATGTTCAATGGGTAAAAGTATTTTTGATTTGATGAGTGCACAAATATCAGCTTGTATTGATAGTTGGATTTAAATTTCATTCGTTTTCGATTTCAAGCAGCCATGGACGTGAAAATGGATCATGTCATAAAACTGTATGCATACTAGATGGGGTGAAAAGCAACCTCCTTGGGAACGAGACATTTTTTAAATGTATTTTTTTTATTCAATATAGGGGAATTTACGTATTCTCGTCAATCTAAGCAGCGTCCGCACTTCTATTAGCATTTTGTCAGCGTTACGCACATATATCACGTGTCTGTTTGTTAACATTCATCTGCTGCTTGCTTCTCTATCCATTCCAATCGACAGAATTTTTCAAACCGGTTTGAAAGCGATTTTACAACGCTCCAAACTTCTCAGGTGAGTGTGACTATTGTCGGCAGCCTCTTTTTCTTCGGCAACCTTCCCATTAGAACTGCGTGTTAACCAGCTGTTCTATTATCGGCAACTCGAAATCAGCCCCATTTTGTAGTGCGTATACTTCATTTGAAGAAAAATCTGGCATAATAGGATTGCTCGCTCGTACAAATATAATCAGATTGAAGCTGAAAGACTAAAGAATCGTTTGAATACATTCAGGGAAGTGTGTTGATGGGAAAACATAGTGAAATTATCGTTTAAATTTTGGTTGCCGAAAACAGTCAATGGGTGCCGAAGCCAACATTTACCCTAGTCCCCTTTTAGCTCGATACACTTATTCCAGCGATTTTCCAACTTCATGATCCCGTCCGAAAAGTAATTTTCCGAAAGGTCTGCAAAATACTTCTCCGCGGCGTTGATGATTTCCTCACGTGCGCTGAATTTTTTCATTGATGAGCTATCTTTTGAGGTTTGGGAAGAGATAATAGTTTGAGGGAGCCAAATCGGGTGAATACGGTGGATGCGGAAGAAATTGGAGCCGTAAGTCATTTTTTTTTCTTTATTTAGGAGATTTTCAGCCGTAGGCTGGTTCATCTCCGCCGTAAGTCATTGATTTTAGCCGTAGTTGCGATGTTCAAGGGCGCCGGCGCATTGTCTTGTAAAAACAACATTTATTTTCGCTTCATTTGAGGCCGTTTTGCAGCGATTTCGGCCTTCAGACGCTCCAATAATGCACAGTAATATTCGCTGTTGATGGTTTTTCCTTTTTAAAGGTAGTCCACGAAGAGTATGCCATGACAATCCCAGAAAACCGACGCCATAACCTTTCCGACCCATCGAGCCTCCCTCGGCCGCTTCGGAGCACTCGTGCCAGCTTCAGTCCTTTGCAGGACACTCATTCTGTTCTCTGGGGTGTAATAGTAGATCCAGGTTTCATCAACAGTTACCAATCGACGCCAAAAGTTCGCCTGATTCCGCAACAGCAAGTCCAAACACTCTTTCGGTCAGCCAACACCATTTCATGTATTTATTTGACATTGTCCTCTGTAACCGCATCGAAGGGCCTGCCGCTGTGGACTTGATCGGAATTGAAGTTGCGGCCACCACGAAACTCTTGAAACCAATATTTGACGGTATAATCTGACGGAGCATTAGCCCCATAATATTTATCCACCTTTTCTTTTGTTTCCTTCGGCGTTTTGCCTCTTAAAAAATAATGTTTTATGAGAGAACGAAAATCGTGTTTATCCATACACAACATGATGCCAAACACGTCAACACCATTCAGCTGTCAAAACAAAACTAAAGACAGTATCGCACTGAAATTTAAATGTCTGCCTAAATATGAACCGGCTACAGAGCACCATAACTTTTTTTGCAGTAGCAGCGCATTCTGGCGGTCAAGGAGGTTACTTTTCACCCCACAGTGTATTCGTCTGTTATCTTTTAGGCTGTAAACCATTTGCCGAGTTAAATTTAACTCGTGGTTAAAAGTGACATTTCGAAAGTTATTTTCTATGTTCGAAAATCCCCGTGCTGTCGATCGACCGGTTTTCGACCCACGGTTGTCAAAATTTAACTTCTTGTCTGTCAGAAATAACCATGCTCGGATAGCAGGGTTCATCGATAACTTTCCATATGTCAATTTTTAACCAAAAGTTAAAAAAATTCGCCAAATGGTTCAGAGCCTTAGGCTGTGGTCCATTTGGTGAATTTTCACTTAAATTTGACACTTCGAAACTAAATTATAATGTTCGAAAATCCCTCTGTTGTTGATCGGCCAATTTTCGAGAAGGTGTGTGTCAAAATTGATTCCTTGTCTGTCAGATATAAGTCTGCTGGAATAGCAGGTTAATTTGGAAATTTTCCATCTGTCAAGTTTAAGTGAAAATTCGCCAAATGGAACACAGCCTTAGAAACTGAAATCTCTTCGAAAGAATGAAACATTTCTCGATTACTTTTTCAAAGGGACGTATCAGCTTTTGTAAACAATGCATTTAATCGTCGATTTGGCGTAACTGGTAGCTCGCACACGCTTACCAACACCACTAGCAGGTAAGGGAAAATTTCCCCCATCTGATGGTAGTGTTAGCATGCGTGGGCGAGCTACCAGTTACGCCAAATCGACGATCAAATGCATTGTTTACAAAAGCTGATACGTCCATTTGAAAAAAAGTAATCAAGATTTATAGAGGTCATTATAGAGGTAAAAAGGAACCATGGATGGAAAATCCTAGGACTCCAAAAGTGCTGGAACTGAAACATGCGTGCCAGCTGTGATTCATTTTCGTGACAAATGTGGCTGGTAATTAAAGGTAAAGGGAGAGAGATTTGAATTAAGGTATGCTAAGTTGAAGGCTATATAATAATCACTGCGACGTTGTGGTCGATGTTTTTAAAAGAAGTTCTACTCACTACAATTATTTACTAAACCACCAAATCTCATTAATCAATGCTTATTCTAGCATCTCTCAATCGTAACTAACTGACTAAAACCCTACCTATCTGGTTCTATTTAATAATTATATCTGCTGACAAAGCTAGTTAACCTGGAAATGCTGATCAACGTATTGCTCCTGTAAACGTCGCTGAAGATGCTTGCGTTGCATCCGGCCGCGTGCTGTTGATGGGTGTTTGGGGTGCTGTTGTTGTGTTGGCTGGTTGTGTCTGTGTTGGTGGAGTATCCACTGTAACTAGATATGTAGTATATCTGGAATATCCTGATATCTAAAAATCATGCAAGCGTTCAATCGTTATGACCATTTTTAAAAGTGACAGTTATTCCGAATCACCCAGTATACTACAAACTTATAGGTACCTTGTGATGGATTTATTATCTTGGATGTTTCGCCTTAATTCTACTTCTGATTTAGACCATGAGCAGCTTCTTCGGGACATTTAGCCTTTTTGAACTTTTGTCAATTTGATATTTAGTCCATTTCGGTCATTTATTCTCCATTTCGAAAATTTCTACATTTTGTCCATTGGATCTTTTAGTCCATTTGGACCTTTTTTACCTCTATTAAAATATGACCTTTTGTCCATTTTTGGCCTATTTTCTTTCATTTTTTAGCATGGATTTGACAGTCGAATTATCGAGTCAATATCCGATAATCTAGCCATGATTTTTCTGTAGCCTGGTGGTCTTCGAGGAGAAGTCTTCGATGGTAAGTCAAAAGTACAACGAGGACTAGGTCTAAATCCTCCCTGGAATTTCGTTAATTTCATGACCAAATTTCAAGAACATTCTGGACAAGTCGTTGAGCTATTTAAAAAACCAAACTCCTTCAAATCCGTAAGAACCTAAATCAAATTTTCTCGTTCTCTTTTCCAGTTTCCCATGAACTACGATGCGAACGTTGCAACCTGATCGAAAAGATTTGTGTGCGTGAAAAGCCCAACTTGCTATGTTGACCAAAACAGCGTTCACCGAAATAGTGTTTCGCTTCGATAAGCGTAGTGAGTAGCCTCTGTGAAAAATAGTGTTGTGTGAAAGTGTCATCCCTGAAGCCCCGAAGAAGCATTGTCCGTTGTGGCGGCAAAAGTGTACTGTCAGCCCCCGTTGCATCCTTCCGGTAATAGTGGCGAGGTCCTCACTTCCATTTCACGTCTCATTTAACCTCCCTCCCCCCCTGAAAAGTGTGACAGCGAAAAAAAAAAAATGAATATACATAGTGGCGTAAAAATATGAAAACCGAAAAAAGAAGAAGAAGAAGAAGAAGCAGTGCTCCAATATATTCGTGGACCTGAACCCCGTTTTCGGTGGTGTTGGTGTCGGTGAGCCGTGCTGTCCCACTGCGGTGGCGGTTGAAGAAGGGTGAGTATTGAATTAAAAACTACACTACTTTTTTGCACCCCGCTTTCACCGCATGCTTTTGTGTGAACGAACGAACCCATAGATGGCGTCTCACTGTCGTCGTCGTTGTTGTCGATTTATCTACTTGCAGGCGAAATGTCGCTGTCAGTTATAATTATGAAAATTTGATGCATTCGACAGGTGATGTCTAAATGTTATTCGGGTCGCCCGTTGTTGGTGGATTTCAATTATTCAACCGAAGGGAGCCAACTGAGATCGGCGGGGAAGTGGCGGGCGGGTGGCGGGCCGCTTTAAGCGGGATATTAATAAATTCAGTACGTTATTACACTAAAATGCTCCGAATGGTGGGTGGGCGGATGGGTGTGTATGCCCGTTCGTCCGCCCGCCCGCTAGTCGAAGGTTAGGTGGTTGGTGCATTATTTTTATTATTTATATAGGATAATATTTTTCCCCGGACGGTCGTCGCTGGCTGGTGCTTTCCTTGTGCCAAGCGAAAAGGAACGTTGTTTATTTCAGCATTTTTCACTTGCGTTGCCACCCATTTTTTTCCAGCTATTGCACCACACTACTGTGCACTTTTTTTTTCCAGAATCAATTTTTTGTCGTATTTTTAAGAAAATGCCATTAACGGCGTCTTTCACTCCTTCTCGGAGAGGAGTCCTGTGGGGCTGTCTCCCGTGTTTGTGTGTGATGGAATGCGCCACCGGAACAAAAAATCTCATTTTCATGCTGAAAAATGATATTAAAATATTCGCCGGGGTGAAACTGGCGACGAACGCCTGGATGTCTGCAAGTTTGAAACGAGCGAAAAAAGTGTTCTAAAGGATAAAGGAAGATTTTTAAATTAATAAACTGTCAAACTTTTGAGCGGAATACTAAAGGGGGATGATTTTGATCATCCGAATCGACAGCAGATTAAAATGGATAACGTGACATTCCATTAATGTCAATAAGATTTGCTTTTATTCCAACGTATTCAAGCAAGAGCATTCACTATCGAATAATAGTTTGCACCATCAAATCCGACAGATGTCGCCCCACCAGATTTTCGAAAAATCGTCGATTTCTTTTCAATTTTCGCAGCTTTCTTTTTCCGATGTCTCGAGATTCACCCTTACCTTACCTGACCAATCAGGCTAAAGCCTTGTTGTCATCTGCTCTCCGAAGAAGTCGTCTCCACTCTACTCGATCCATGGCTTCGTAGTCTGCGAAGGGTATGCTGGTCGCCTTATACTTGGTTGATCCACCTTGCCCGCTGCACGCCTCTTCTTCTTGTTATTGTTGGGTCGCTTTCTAGAACCATTTTCACTGGGTCGTCGTGCGGCATTCTTACGACGTGCCCAGCCCACCGTAGTTTGGGCAATGTGGACGATGGATAGTTCTCCCAGCACCTGGTGCAATTCGTGGTTCATTCGCCTCCTCCACGTTCCGTCATCCATCTGCACTCCACCGTAGATGGCACGCAACATCTTCCGTTCGAAAACACCACGAGCATAGTCCAGGTCTCGTGGTCGTAGAGGCCACCGGTCTAATCAGCGTAGACAGTCAGCTTCGTGCCATAATGCGTCTTTGAATTTCTCTGCTGGTATCATTTTCCGCGGTCACCAGTGAGCCCAAATACACGAACTCATCGACCACCTCGATTTCGTCACCGTTAATCTGATCTCGGGGTGGGAGGCTAACATTGTCTTCCCTAGAACCTCTTCCGTTCATGTATGTTGTCTTCGATGCGTTGATCGCAAGTCCAATCCGCCCAGCTTCAGCATACAGTCTGATGTACGTTCCCTGGATGGACTTCCTGAAGATCGTGCCACTCGTGTCTATCCCTGCTCTTCTGATCACACCTTCTAACGCGATGTTGAATAGCAGACACGAAAGTACATCACCTTGCCGTAACCCCCTTCGAGATTCAAAGGAACTCGAGAGTGTCCCCGATACTCGAACAACGCACATCACTCGATCCATCGTCGCCTTGACCAATCGCGTCAGTTTATCCGGAAATCCGTACTCGTGCATAATCTGCCATAGCTGATCTCGATCGATTGTGTCGTATCCGGATTTGAAATCGATGAACAAATGTGATGTGTGGGCACGTTGTATTCGCGGCATTTCTGCAGAACCGGCCGAATCGCGAAAATTTGGTCCGTGGTAGCGCGGGCAGCCATGAATCCCACCTGGTATTGCCCCACGAACTCTTTTGCAAATTGTGACAGGAGGCGGCATAGAATCTGGGAAAGTACCTTGTGAGCGGTGCTCAGCAGTTTGATCGCGCGGTAGTTGCAGCAATCCAACTTGTCGTCCTTTTTGTAGATTGGGCAAACGACACCTTCCATGCACTACTTCGGTAATATCTCCTCCTCACAAATCCTCGCAATTACCCAGTGCAGCGCTCTGGCCAGTATTTTAATAGCTCACTTGACAGTTGATCTACACCAGTTGCTTTGTTGTTCTTCAGCTGACCGATCTCCTCCTCAACTTCTTGAAGATCAGGGGCCGGTAGGCTGTCGTCTTCTGTGCGTGCTCCAAGGTCTGTTGCCGTGCCACCTTCGTTTTCTGCCGCATCACCGTTGAGGTGCTCGTCATAGTACTGCTTCCACCAAGGTTGCAAAGACTCATTTCAGCTAAAACAATGTTTTTCTAAATTATGAAATAATTAGATGCCATGATCAAATTTTGAATTGGTAGGATACAAGAAGAGGTTGCAAAGAATGTGTTTGGCATATTAAACCTGTTTATTTCACTTCATGAGAGTCACAATCAGCGATTTTTCACAAACTCACTCACTCACTCACTCACTCACTCAGCGATCAGCAAATCGCTGATTGTGACTCATAGAAAGCAAAATTTACAGGTTTTATGTTTCCAACGCATACTTTGTAACCTCTTCTTGTAAGTTACAAGTAAAACATGCCATCATACCATCTTTTGGTTTTATTATTCCGAAAAACATTATTTTAGCTGAAATGAGTCTTTGCAACCTTGGCTTCCACCTCTCAATCACCTCACACTCGTTCGTGAGAAGGTTACCGTCCAAGTCCTTGCACATATCGGCTTACGGCACGTAGCCTTTGCGCGATCTATTAAGCTTCTCGTAGAACTTTCGAGTGTCGTTTATGCGGTACTTCCTGCTGACGCTTATTCCTTCGGAAAACCGAGTTTTGTCTGTTTCGCGCTTGTCTGTATCGCTCCACATTCAATCTCGTGCGGTGTTGCAGCATTCTCGCCCGTGCTTCATTCTTCTCCTCTACTAACAGTTTGCATTCGCCGTAAACCGGGATCGCAGTACCTAGTGCCGCTGTAGCAGTACTACCTATGGCGGAACGGATGTCCCTCCAGCCATCTTCAAGAGAAGCTGTGCCAAGCTGCTCTTCCGTGGGTAGTGCAACTTCCAGTAGCCCAGTTCCACCAATACTTCATTGTTCTTGGGGAGGGTTGCTGTTTATCGCCATCCATTTCCCGTCTAACTGTACGCTCAAACAGGTGTTGACAACACCAACTTCCTCGCAGGACCAAAATTGTGCCATTAACTGCTCGAGATTATCCGATACCGCCATGTTACAAGCGTAGTTAGTATTTCTACTTTGTGGAGTGACTTTGCCTGACAATATCCACCCGAAAACCGATTCCGTTAGTACGGGCAGGTCCTTGCCCAACTGAATCTCCCTTTCAGACTGTAAGTAACTGAAAATCCTTGGATGCCCAGAACCAAATTGATCTTTCTTGACCGGATGAACTCCGGATCCGTCAGTTTGATCTCTACCGGTATGTTCCATTCATTTTCCTGAACTGTAGAAGTTGGCAGACAATCTGTAACTTCCGGTATGACGAGAAATTCCATTAATCAAGAATACCAAGAATCGATATGTTCAGTGATGCAAAATATCATGACACTCACGTGACGCTCGTCTTCGCATCAACCGACTATCGCTGACAGATCGTTTTGTCACGCAGTGAGAGTTAGAGCAATGGCAAAAAACAATCCCCAGTAATGGTCGCTGCTCACAAGCAAAACGTTACACCCGCTGCTGATGATGAAAAGCACAACGAAAACAGTGAAGACTTCTGCAGTGCGATCATGAGAAAAAGCGAAACGACAGAAGAAAATCAAAACAATGCCTACGCATTCCAAGTTCGTCTCGGCAGGCGCGACTGTGTGAGTTACAAACAAAGCAGGCAACATGAAACGAAAGCTGTTGGCTCACTCGCCAACACACTCACATAAGCAAGCAAAGCAGCAACTGCTTCAAAACGAGCACAGATGAGTGTCGTGATTGTCGGGAATGACCAGATCGGTGATGGATCACAACAGAAGACGACATTCACCAGTTGCTTTTTACTTCTTTCGTCAACTTGATGGATGGTCATGGAGAGAGCTTTGACGAGCACATTGATAGGAATATATAAAGCGTTACTACCATCAGCTGTTTGGCGATCGTGATTGTGATAGGTCGCGACTCTGGATATGTTGGTCTTCTGACTGGAGACATTCATCAACTGACACAGATTTTGAGAGATGAAATTGCACTCTGACCCTGAGTCCAGTAGTGCACGTGCCGGATAGCGGGAGCCCTGATCATCCTCGATCGTAACGACAGCTGTAGCCAGAAGAACATGAGAGAAGAGACACTGAGCCGCGTTGGAAGAAGTAGATTCAAGTGAGGCATTCGCTGCATTGGAGTTTCCACCAGTGTCGTCATGGTCGATCCTTGGTTACCTGTGCTTTCTTCTCCTTAACGAATGGTGCCGACCTTTCCAATACCGACAGGAAAACTTCGATGAACATTCTCTAGCAAGGAGACCACGTTTGAGGCAATTACGGCGGAAAGATTGAGCACGTATGAGGAATTCCTTACTGGTCAGCGACATCTTCAAAAAGGCAGGGCATGTATGCAGTTCATGAATCTCCGCGCAAGAAGGACACTTAACGTTGTTTGCTTGTGCGGCATTCTGACTGACCTTTGCAGAAAACGGCTTCCGTTATGGTTGTAGGGACTGTTCAA